GGGGCTGCAGAGGGGCGGGTGACCGAGCCCGGGGCCTCTGGCTGCTCTGTGCCTTCCCCGCTCCAGGCCCGGGCGGGCAGAGGGCACCCAGGCCCCCGCGGTGGAGCAGAGTTCCGGCGGGGAGGGCCTGGGAAGCTCCTTCCCCTCTGCGCGGAAGGGAGGTCCCTGCGGAGGGCCTGGGTGCCGCGGGCATCCACAGGAAAGGGGATGTGCTGGTGGCCGGCCCGGGGAGCCGCCGCCACGCCCTGCACGGGGACAAAGCTCCAGGGCAGCCTGCGGGCCCCTGCCCTGCGCCAGCAGCCAGAACCGTGTATTCCTCTCTCTAGCGACTGCTTCTTGGAACTCACACCCTCTCGGGTTTGCTATTTTTACCCACCCTGAGCCTTCCGGTCTCCATGGCGACGCCTCCAAACAGCAGACTCCGGGCGGCAATGATGTCACCGTTCCCCTTCCTGGAGCCCAGGCCTCCAAGGCGCTGCTGCCTGAGGCCGAGGGACCCCTCCCACACCCTGCTCAGGCCTCCCCCAGGGATCCAAGGGTCTGTGGGCCACAGCCGGGCACGGTCAGGACCCCAGGCCAGTGTCCAGCCTTGTCCTGCCCCTTCAAGCAGCCCTGCTGTGGGGTGGCAGGGGACATCTGACCCAGAAGTGGTCCCCCCGCCCAGGACTCCGGGACCCCTGCCCTTCGGAGCCACCACGGGCCCTCGTGGCTGGGGAGGGAGGAGGGACAGGGCCGGCACCAGGCAGGCAGCAGCCTGTCTGGCCTGGGAAGCCCCCCGCGGCCCTGCCTCAGGAACGCCTTCCCGAGAGAGATGGCAACAGTGGTAGGAACCCAAGGAGCCCAGAGACACAGCTGGAGCCAGGGACAGCCCGTGGCCTGGTATGCCCGGCACCCGCCATAGTGCCTGTGGGCATCCAGCCCACAAAGGCCCTGGGGCCCCGGCCCCGCCCCACACCTGGGTCTTGATCACGCAGCTGGGGAGGGGTTGTGGCCCCCCATGGCTGGGGCCATGCCTCATCCCCAGCGGAGGTCAGGGACCCTCGGGGCTGATGGCCGCCTGTGACCGTGCTGGGGTGGGAAGGTGGCCGCCCGTCCGGGGCTGTGTTCTGCGTGGACGCGGACATTTGCTGGGATGCCCGAGAAGTCCCCGGGCCCCGCGGGATGGACACGAGCTCCGGAAGCTCCCCGTCTGCGCTCAGCACGCCGGAGGACGCCGCCCCACCGGGCCCCTAGCTTGCCGAGGCCTGCCACCTTGCCTGGGCTCCTGTCCCCAGCCAGGCCCGCGCCTCCCGTCTCTGAGGCTGAGTAAGCTCCAGGCCCACCCCCATCTGGCCTCAGCCCCAAACCCAGGCCCTGGGGGTGCGAGGGGAGGGGGCACAGGGCTGTGGGGCTGGGAGCGGCTGAGCCTCCACGCTGCGGTGCTGGAGGGGTTTCCAGGCGCTCATTCCTGCTCGCTTTCAGCGTGAAGTCCCAACTCGCCTGCGCCTCACGTCGGCAGGCGCGGCCGCAGGTCTGGGCACGAGGCAGGCAGGTGGGCGCTGACTCCAGCGTCCCACACAGGCCCGGTTACCACCCAGGTGGGTCCTGCACGGCCTAGGGACTGGCCCCAGTGGGTCCTGCACGGCCTAGGGACTGGCCCCAGTGGGTCCTGCACGGCCTAGGGACTGGCCCCAGTGGGTCCTGCACGGCCTAGGGACTGGCCCCGGTGGGCCCTGCACGGCCTAGGGACTGGCCCCAGTGGGCCCTGCACACCAGCCCTGCCCGGGGACAAGCGCCTGGAGGAGGCCCCAGGAGTGTCCGGGAGCCTGGCGGGCCTCTGCTCCCAGACAGGACCCGGCTGCGCCTGGGAGACGGACGCTCGTCCAGGGACGCACCTTCTACACAGAAGGCAGCACGGAGCCGCGGGGTCCCGGGGGCTGTGAGGGCAGGGGGGCGGCCCATGGAGTGTGCGTGGCCCGCTCCCGGCCTGGTGGGCCTGCCTGAGATGCCACCTCCACCCAGACGCCTGGGGTTGAACTGGTCCAGCCAGCTCCTCCCTCCTGACGTCTGGGGTCTCCGCTGGGCCCTGGGCCAGCCAGGCCTGTCCTGCTCAGACAGGGCTGCAGGGCTGTGGCCTGGAGGGGGTGGGCGCCGGGGGGCGGGGCCCATGCCAGGGTGGGAACCACTGTTTTCTATCGGGTTCCTCTGACAAGTGCCTGTTCTCAGGGCCCCAGGGGACACTGCTCGTTGATGGAGCAAGTGGCACGCTCCTTTTTTAAAAAAATTTGTTTTATTTTATTTGTTTGAAAGGCAGAGTTACAGAAAGAGACACAAGGCAGAAGACTCAACCTTGCCTCCACCGCTTGGCTCCTCAAAGGCCCCCATGGCCAGGGCTGGGCCGGGCTGGGCCGGGCTGGAGCCCGGAGCCAGGAGCTCCGTCTGGGTCTCCCGTGTGGGAGGCGGCAGCACCAACACCTGGGCCATCCTCCGCTGTTTTCCGAGGAGTGGGAACCGAGCAGCTGAGGCATGAGCCAGTGCCCAGATGGGCTGCCGGATCGCAGCCGCGGCTTCACCCGCTGCCCCCCACAGCCGCCTCCTGCAAGGCCCGCTGAACCCAGCTCAGAGCTGGGTGGGGGCGAGGACTGCAGGCAGGGGGACAGCAGGGCAGGGGCCCTGGGGCGGGAGGCGCAGGCTGCCTGTCTGTCGTTAACCTCCGGCCGGGCTTCCCGGGGACTGGGCGCCGCACTGAGGCCGGGAGACCCCACTGTGGGGTGAGCGGGGGCCGGGCCCTGCCGGCCGCCCCAGGGACCGTCCGTGCCTCTGTGCTAGCTGAGGGTCGGCTGGACAGACAAGGCTGTTTCTCTGAACAGTTTGTTCCCAGCCTCGCCCCTCGCCTGGCTCAGGGCTGGGGTGACCGGCTGAGCGGCGGGGAGGGCCTGGCCCTGGCCCAGCCCACGCCCCCCTGGGGCCCCTGGCCAGCCCCTCCCTGCCCTGCCCACTGTGACCCAGCCTGGGGGTTAAGCAAACAGCACCTCGAGTGACTTTGGTCTGGGCTGCGGATGCCCGTCCTGGTCCCCGGCGGGCGCTCCAGGGAGGCCAAGGCGGCCTCCGCCCAGTCCCTTCCTCGGCCGCGCCCCTCAGGCCGGGCTGCCCAGGGCGCTGGGCTCCATGAGTAATATTTAACTTGGAAGGGCTCTCGGACAACTGCGGGGGAGAACTTAACAAGTTAGGATTGGGTCTGCTTGCCAGGGGAGGGGGGAGGGGAGGGAAGGAGGGAGGGGGCGGCCAGAGCGCCAGGCACGCCGGGAGGCGGGGCCCAAGGACCACAGGGCCACCCGGCCCAGGAGTGGGCGCTCCGAGGCCAGTGACGCACGCTGGACGCACGGCGGAGCCCTGGCCCTGACTCAGTTTCACCTGCAGGAAACAAGGGGCAGCCTTGGGACTCAGCTCTGCGGCTCAGAACCCAGGACACGGGCGTGCACGCACACACACGCACACACATGCACACGCACACACATGCATCTATACCCACACACATGCACGCACATACATGCACACACACACATGCACACGTGCACACGCACACACATGCACGCACACACACACATGCATCTATACCCACACACATGCACGCACATACATGCACACACACACGTGCACACACACACACGCAGCCCGCCTGTGACTCTGAAGCTCAACCCAAGACCGGAAAAATCCAAGAGGCTTCATCAGGGAGGAGGTTCCAGTGGGGGTGGGGCCGGGACCAGGCTCCCCCAACACAGGCTGCTGTGAGTTCAACCCTCCGCCCGGGCTGGGCAGTGCTCCGACCACTGCCCTCGGCCACCGCGGAGAGCACACACCGCGGCCTGCCTGCGGAGTCTGCTGGGCCGGCGGGCGCTGTGCGGGTGCCCTGGACGGTCGGGCTCCCAGCTCCCGGGGGCGTCACTGGGGCCCCCACAGGCCCCGGCCCCGCCGGGTGCCCCGAGCTGTGGCCACAGCCCCTTCAAGCCAGGCAGGAGTCACGCCCCCTCGCCTGACTCACTCATTCCAGAATGCACCGCTTCTCAGTTTTCAAACCTTTTTTTTCCAGCACCGCGCTGGTTCACAGGGAAAAATCCACCCCTCCCGTAACCTCCTCTTTTTACCCTGATTTGCCCTTGAGCAAAAACCCTACCCCATCTCCTAGGGGGGCAGGGGGCTGGGGGCCTGCAGGGCCCGGGTCCCAGGGGAGCCTGAGCTCCAGGGCCCCAGCGAGGAGCCCCCCGGGTCACACCCAGGGATGCCCGCAGCCAAGCTGCCCCTCCTGGGCAGCCCGCAAGTCCAGCAGGGGCAGCTCCAGCGCCCCAGCCGAGGGGACAGCAGCGTGCCGGATTCCGGCAGCACAGGGTCGGCGACCCCGGCCACAGGGCGAGGCACCTCCGCTGGGGGCTGTGCGGTCAGCGGCCCTGGGACAGGGTCTGCTGGACACGGTCATGCAGTCAAGACCACCCCGGCCCCGAGGCCGGAAGAGACGGAGGGAAACTGAGGCCAGAGACCTTGCACCCTCCCTGAGCCGTGCTCCTGGGGCTGGGCACCCTTGGGGTCGTCCAGGGGGGACCGTCAGAGCCCCCACGGAGCACAGCGCGGAGTAGGGGCGCCCCCAGCACGCGGTCACGGGGGCCCTGAGGCGCGGCCCAGGAACAAAAGGACGCGCGTGGGCCGGCGGGCGCGGGGGCCTCGGGCGCGGCTGCAACTTTCAATCGGCCTTCGCAGGCTTTTCGGTCGCTGCGGGGACAAGGCCGCCCCAGGGCGCCTCTGACGAGCGGGAACCGCGGGCTCGGACCCCGGCCTGGCAGCGGGGCGGGCAGCGCTGGACCGAGGCCCAGAGGCCGGCGGCGGGCGGGGCCCGGGAGGGGAGACGGCGGGTGTGGGACGAGCTGCGGGAGGGGCGGGGGCGGGCGTGGGAGGGGCTGGGGCGGGACTTAGGCGTGGGGGATGCTGGGGAGGGGCGGGGAGTGGGAGGGGCCCGGAGGCGGGGCTGGCGCGGCCGGCCGACGGACAGAGGTCGGGAGGGTGGGGGCAGGCCTGAGGCCAGAGGGAGGCCCCGGCGGCCGGCGGTGACCGGCGGCCAGCGGCTGGCCAAGGCTCTTGCTCGGTGGCGTTTCTGTAGGATGGCGCCGCAGGTCACCCACGGCTCTGGTTGTCTGGGCGGCCATCGTCAGACGGGGCGGGGTGGCCGGCCTCCAGGCCATGCACGCGGCTGCAGGGAGCCCTGGAGAGGTGCTCCCGGCGCCTGTCTCTGGACTTCCAGGCTGTCTGAGCGAACTGATCGGCCCCAGGTCACTCCCGGGCGGGGGGGGGGGGTGTCACAGCTCTAAGGGAGGTGGGCAGAGGTGACCCCCGTGGGTCAGCTCCATCCAGAACCATCCAGAATGTGCCAGCCCCCAGACAGCAGCCAGAGCAGGCAGGGCGGGCGCCTGGGGGCACCCGGGGTTGGCAACACCGAGGGACGCCGGCCCATGTCTGGCTGCAGAGGTGGTGGCCGGCGGGGGGGACTGTTGGAGGGAGACCACGAGGGGTTGGCCAGCCGTGGAGGGGCAGCTCTTTCCCTAAGGGTCTCCAGGGGCCCACAGCACGGGAGGCAGCCTGTGTGCACCTGGGGCCCCCGCATGGCAGGAGCAGCCCTCGCTGGCTCCCGTGCGTGGGTCAGCCTCCAGGGTGCTCAGGGAGCGAGGGGCTCAGTTCACGCCGACTCACAACCCCCAGCGGGCGCCACCAGGTGCTGCTGAGTCAGCAAGACCTCCCCCACCCCACCCCGGGCCACCCCAGGGCAGCAGCACCAAGGCCTGGTGTACATCCAGCTGGGGGCTCACTGTCTTGTGGCTCTGACAAGTGGTCGGAGGAGCCCGGGCCTCTGAGATGGGCTGGACGCCTGGACACAGAAGGACCGGGCAGGGATGAGGCCAGAGGCCCAGCACCAGGCTGCCCACGGGGCAGAGCGTTTGGGGGGTGGTTCAGAGAGGGCAGGCAGAGCCTGCCTGTGTCCTGGGGTGGTCTGAGGGCCTGCCTCCCTCCATCACCCCAGGAACGGGCTCGGGGCACTGGCCAGCTCCAGCCCAGGGAGTGATGGGCAGGTCAGCGCTGAGAGACACGGGGCAGAGCAGAGCTGGGCACGGCAGGGTGACCCCTCCCCCACCCAGTGCTGACCCCCTGCCCGCTGCGCGGCTCTGTGACGCCAGGAGATCCTGGCGCTCAGCTCGCCCACCCCGCGCTGCGCCGAGTCCTCAGGTCCGGGCCCAGGGTGGGACACAGCCCGGGAAGGCCAGCGGCCCCCGTGAGTGTCGGGAGCTGCTGTGCAGTGGCCACTGCCGGATGGCGGGGTGGCTGCTTCAGCTCTGCAAACCGGAGTCCACAACCGGGGGGCCCGCGGGGAGGGGACCGGGTCCTGGCCTCCTCACGGGGTCTCCGAGTCCAGGTTTCCTTTTCTTGTAGTCATGGTGGACGGAGGGCCAAGCCTAACCGTGCTACTTTGGCGACGCCTGCTTTCCCAGGTCGCCGGGGGACACAATTGGGCAGACAGACGCTGCTTGGTCCACAGCTCTCCGAAGCCTGGTCCCTGCCTGCCCTTCCCTGGGGGGTGGGTGCCCAGAGTCCCCCACCGGGAGGGTCAGTCGGCTGACTGCTCTGGGCCAGGGCACCCACGAGACTCTGGACAAGGGCTGGGTTCACAGCGGGGGAAGGGCCAGCACCCCAGCCCCGCAGGACAGCCCCACGGGGCTAAGGGGTGGAGAGGCAGGCTGGGGAGGGGCCTGGGGCGAGCAGGATCCGCTGCAGGGCTGTGGGCCGCGACGGCATTGGCCCAGGGTGTGGACAGCCGTGAATGCTGGGGGGTGGCGCGGCTCCGGATGCCCAGCAGACGGCCTGGGACGGAAGCGGGGCCGGACTGCTTCCCGAGGTGCCCCTGGCTGCTGGGCCCCTGGGGCCGGGAGCTGCGGGCTGCACTGGGCTTCAGCAGGCGGCCCGCCAAGCGCCGGCAGGTCCCGGCCACGACCTGCCCCACTGAAACCCGAGGGAGCCCCAGGCCGCCGTGGCGTGCCCCCGCTCTGCACCCCAGGTGGGGGCCCAAACGCTTGCTCTCCTGCAACGTCTCCCAGGCAACATCACACACAGCCTGTCTGCCTGGCACTCCCGCACCCCGTAAATGCCACGGTGCCTGGCTCCAGGCAGCTTTGCCTGCTGGCACGCGCCGGCCAGCAGGTGTGGGGAGCACAGCCCGCTGCCTGGTAGCTCGCCTAGCCTCTAGCTGTGTCCAGCCAGTGGGCACCGCTAGGGCACCTCTGCCATCTGACGCGTCCAGTGCCCGGCGTGCCCACCCGCTCTACCCCAGTGGACACATGTGCTGCTACTTCCTAGACTGCGCTGGCCCCGGGCCTGCTCTGCTCACTGCCGTGTCTTGACGGAGTTTCTAGGGTGCCCCGAAGGCTGAACCAACCCCAAGAAATCAAGGAGGGTGTGGGGGAGCCAAGTGGGCCGGGGTGCGGCTGGGAAGCTGACCTGGGCTGGTGCTGACCAGCCCTGCGCTGGAGTGGAGGCGCGTGGGGAGCCCCGGCTGTGACCCCGGGGGCCAGCGCTGCAGAAGCCAGAGCGGGGAGCCCATCCAGTCCACCTGGAGGGTGCTCCTTGCTGGGGGACCTGCTGGCCAGCCCATCTCACCCCCTTTCTGGAACTGGCTCCTTGGAGAAAGGCCTGGCTCGTCCTGCCCGAATGCATCACGTGATCACGTTCAAAGCCAAGACGAGGAGGGGGAGGCTCCAGCCCAGCCAGGCTGCAGGTGCGGGGGGCGGAGGGCGCACCCCCCACTCTCTGCCCTGAGTGCGAGTTTTGTTCCTAAAAGACTTGTCTCTGCAGCTCGTGTCTGTCCCAGCCAGAAACTAACTCCCCGGAAGGCTCAGTCCCTTCTCAGAAGCGGTAGGCCCCCGGCACCCGCAGCGCCAGCATCCCGCGTGGGCACCAGTTCAAGTCCCCGCTGCTCCACTTCCCATCCAGCCCCGTGCTAATGCATCTGGGAAAGCAGCAGAAGACTCCAGGGTTTGGGCCGCTGCACCCGCATGGGCGACCTGGATGGCGCTCCGGGCTGCTGGCTTCACCCGGGCCCAGCCCTGGCCGCTTTGGTTCCGGGAGTGAACCAGCAGATGGAGGATCTCTCCGTCTCCCCCTCCTCTGTAACTCCGCCTTTCAGATGAGTAAGGGAATCTGGGGGGGGGGGGTGAAAGCCTCCTACCCAGTTCAGCTCTGGAGCCCCCGTCACCACGCCTCGTGCTGACGGCGCAGGGAGGGCTTGTGGGGGGCTCTTCGCGCGTTGCTCCCTCCAGAGGGTCTCGGAGGGGCTGGTCCCCGTGCAGGCCGGGCGGGCAGGCGGCTGTCAGGGGGTCCTTCCCGGGGCGGGTGGCGATTCCTGACAAGTGAGGCAGAGGTCACCCCTGCCTGGGAAAGTGTCCCAGGCTGTAGGTCAAGGACCTCCCCACCTGGCCCTCTGTCCAGTGGAGCCCCCAGGAGGACGGCTGTCACCACTGGGCCTGCTCCTCGTCCCAAGGCCTCCCTCTGAGAGCCACTGCTTAAGTGGACCCCGTGGCACAGCTGAGGCCAGGTGGGGGCCCCTCCTGTGCCTCCCTGGTCTCGGCACCTGTGGCCATCTGGGCCACTTGAGACCCCTCCCCTATTCTGCCCCTCTGGGACCAAGTGGCCGGGCCCCCCGTGTGAGGAAGCTGGGCCACCTGAGGTCTGTGGAGGAGGGGACCTGGCGTGCCCAGCAGGGCCTGGGAGGGACCGGCTGCTGCAGGCCCTTGGTGAGCGCTGGGGTCTGGGCTCCCGGGGGTGGGGTGTGCTGTGTCTCCCCCAGGGAAGCTCCTGCTTGGGCACAGCAGGTGCACACCTGCTCCTGCTGCACACACGTCTGCCCCGCGCACAGGCAGAGAACGGCTGGGGGGCATCCCCGGGGCAGGCTGGCATTGGACCACGGGGCGTCTGGGGACAGGGACAAGGAGCAGCTGGGCCACCCTCCAGGTTGGGGAACCAAAGTGTGGGAGGGAGAGGAAGGGCTGGGACGCTCCCAGGAGAGGCTGAGAGCTGGGACGTTGGAGCCAGGGCCAGCAGGGAACCAGTCAGGGACCCTGGACGCAGGCCACGTGGGACTCTGGTCATCCACCACCTGCAACCTCAGCCCGGCCGCCTCCCTCACCCGAGAGCAGCCCGACCCCGGTCACCTCCTCAGGGCCCTCCGCAGAGCACTGCCTGCAGGGGTGAGCCGGGCCCCGGGCACGCTCGGGACGCCCGCTCAGCCTGCTGGGCCCCTCGGCGACGTGGGGTGCAGGCCGGCTCCCACGCTTCGGGCAGCGGGGATACAGGGCAGCCTGAGGCCCGGTGATGCCCCCGGGCCCAGCAGGCTCCACAGACCACCGACCTCCAGCCTCTTGGGAGGGCAGGAGACCAGGCCTGCAGGGGCAGCATGCTGACGGGAGGAGGGCGGGGGCGCTGGCCCCAGCACAGCCCAGGCTTCTGGGGTGGGGATGGCGGAAACCAGCAAGGGCGCCCGTGCCCTGTTGTGGGGCTGCCACTCGGCCCTGCAGGCCTCAGGCAGGGAGGGGTCCCCGCAGGGGCCGGGAGGGGCTGGGGAGGGCTGGGCCCACGGAGCACCCGGCGCAGCCAGGGCCGGCACAGGGTGCCTGGGCTTCTGCTGCCACCACGTGGCGGCCTTGGACGGAGCCGCAGGGCCGGCGGCCGGGTCCACGCAGGGTGTTAGGGCCCCAAGCTCGTCTGGACAGCGTGGGCTCCTGCTAAGGAAGCTGCGTGGCGGCGCGTGACCGCCGTGACCAGCCCTCCTGGGGGGACGGCCAGGCGCGCCAGGGCCAGGGCGGCCTGCGGCCGCGGTACTCGCAGGGAACACGGTTCCCGGGGCTCCTGGGCGCTGCCCCTACCGGGAAGCCTCCTCCTGGGGGCGCAGCAGCCGGCTGGGCGGCCCCGCCCCTCCTCTCCCTCGGAGGGAGGGACCCCGGCCTCAGCTTCCCCAAGGGTGGGGGTCGGGACACCTTGGGCTCGACCTTGTCTGAGGCGGGTGCAACTCGCGGCCTGAGGAGTGGGCGGCGGGAGCCTCCCGGGGGCCGCTCGGCCGGCTGCGGGTGGGTCTCGGGGGCCGGCTTCTGTCCAGGCGCGGAGCCCGGGGCCCGGGACCCGGCGAGCGCTGACGGGGGGCGGGGCTGGGCGGGCCGCGCTCCACGTGGGGCGGGACTCCGTGTGGGGGCGGGCCTCCTGTGGGGCGGGGCCTGGGAGGGCGGGGCTCCTGTGGGAGCGGGCCTGGGCGGGCGGGGCTCCTGGGCGGGCGGGGCTCCTGTGGGGGCGGGGCCCTGGCTGGGCGGGGCTCCTGTCGGGGCGGGCCGGTTTCTGCAGGTGAGGGGCAGGGCCGGGTTAGGGGCGGGGCCTGGGTCCTTGGGGCGGGGCCGGGGCGGCATCCGGGGCGGGGCCCCGCCGGCGTCCTTTTCCGGTGCGCGCGCTCTCGGGGCTGATGGAGGCGGCCAAGAGGCCACGGTTGCGGTTGAGCCGCCGGAGGCCGGCCTCGGAGGGCGGGTGAGTGCGGGGCGGGGGTTGGGTGGGGGTGGGGGCGCGGCCGGGGCCCGCGCCCGCCCCCTCCGTGCCCCCGGCCCGCCCCGCGCCCCGCGCCCCGCGCCGACGCGCCCCTGCCGCCCTGCCCCGCAGCGGCCGCCCCTGGTTCCTGCCCGGCGGCGAGTGCGAGCTGTGGGCCGCGCTGCTGCGCACGGTGAGCGCGGACCTGCGCCTGGACGGCGAGGTGCCGCCGCTGCCCGCCTTCCCCGGCCAGGTGAGCGCGCGGGGCTGCGGGGCCGCCCGGGGGGGGCCGGGTAGGGCGCAGCGCGACGACCCCTGCCTTGCAGGAGCCGGGACGCGGCCCGGAGCCCGCGGACCCCTGCGAGGCCTTCTCCGTCGGACCCCAGACCTTCAGCTGGACGCCGTTCCCGCAGCCCGCGGGGGGCTCACGCTGCTCCTACCGTCTGCTCCGCGGGGCGGGGGCGCGGCCCCAGCCGGCACCCCCCGCCTCCGAGTCGCCCGGGACCCCCGACCGGCCGGACGTGAGGAGGCCGCCGGCCCTGCAGAGCTGCCCCATGTGCCAGAAGGAGTTTGGCCCCGGGTGAGTGCGACCCCAGCCCCGGTCTGCGACCCCAGCCCCGTTCTGCGGACCCCAGCCCCGGTCTGCGACCCCAGCCCCGTTCTGCGGACCCCAGCCCCGGCCTGTGGACCCCAGCCCTGCCCTGTGACCCCAGCCGTGCTCTGCGGACCCCAGCCCCGCCCTGCGACCCCAGCCCCGCCCTGCGACCCTAGCCCTGCCCTGTGACCCCAGCCGTGCTCTGCGGACCCCAGCCCTGCCCTGCGACCCCAGCCCCATCCTGCGGACCCCAGCCCCGCATGGAAACCGCAGCCAGGGGTGCCCAGCTCAGCTCTGGCAGCTAAGGGACAGGGAAGCTGCCGGCTGAGAGGCAGAAGGAGGAAGCGTGCCTCCCACTGGCTCGCTGCCCAGGCGGCTCCAGCGGCCAGGGCGGGGCCGGGCCTCCCCCGTGGGTGGCAGGGACCCGAGTGGGCGCCGGCGCCACGGCGTCCCCGGTGCGCGTTGGCGGGAAGCCAGGCGCTTCCGTGCGGGGCTGAGTGCGGCCCCGGGTCTGCCTTGGTGCGGGGTGCAGGTGGGGGCTGGCCGGCTCCGACCCCTGCCTCAGGCCGTGTGGGCGGTGTGCAGGGAGCTGGCCTCGGCCCACAGTGGTCCCTGCACCGGTTTCCTCCTGGGACCACGCGGGTGGGGGGCGGGGAGGGGTGTCCTTCACTCTGAGCTTCTGGTCCAGTGCGTTTTTTTTGAAGATTAATTAATTAATTAACTTAGAGTTACACAGAGAGAGGGAGAGGGAGGTCTTCCATCCGCTGGTTCACTCCCAGGCCAGGACAAAGCCAGGAGCCAGGAGCTCCCTCTGGGTCTCCCACGTGGGTGCAGGGGCCCGAGGACCTGGGCCGTCCTCCACTGCCCTCCCAGGCCACAGCAGGGAGCTGGATGGGAAGTGGAGCAGCCGGGACTCTGACTGGCGCCCACAGGGGATGCCGGCACTGCAGATGGCGGCGTTACCCGCTGTGCCACAGCGCCAGCCCGAGCTTTCTTTTTTTAAAAGCGTATATATTGGGGCTGGCGCCGTGGCACAGTGGCTTAGGCTGCAGGGCCGGCTGCTCCACTTCCGATCCAGCTCTCTGCTGGTGGCCTGGGGAGGCAGCGGGAGATGGTCCGGCGCTTGGCCCCGAACCCGTGTGGGAGACCGGAAGGAGTTTCTTGCTCCTGCTTCGGTCTGGCCCAGCCCCAGCTGTGGCAGCCATCTGGGGAGTGAACCTGTGGATGGAAGGTCTCTCTCTCTAACTCTGCCCATCAAACAAGTCTTTTAAAAAAAGGATAGATATGTATTTTTTAAGACTTATTTATTTATTTGAAAGGTAGAGTTAGAGAGAGAGAGAGACAGAGAGGTCTTCCATCTGCTGGTTCACTCCCTAAATGTCTGTGCCAGTCAGGAGCCTGGAGCCTCTCCCAGGTCTCCCACGCGGGTGCAGGGCCCAAGCACTTGGCCATCTTCCACTGCTGTCCCAGGCCACAGCAGAGAGCGGGATCAGAGTGGGGCAGCGGGACTCAAACTGGTGCCCGTATGGGATGCCAGTGCTGCAGGCGGTGGCTTTACGCAACAGCACTGGTCCCTAAATCTTTTTTTAAATAAGGGGTTTGAACCTGGTTTTGGCAGGAAGTTAAACCTCGCATTTGGGCTGCCGATTCCCGGTGGGGCCTTGGCTCTTGCGCTCGGGCCCCAGGTGGGATCCTGGCCTCGACACCGATGTGCAGTCAGAGTTCGGCGGCTCTGCAGGCGCTGGCTGGCAGGCGCCGGGTTCCTGGCCCTCCCTGGATTGCAGCCTCCGCCCCTGCGAGTGCTGTGTGAACCCAGGCTGCTCGGCTCCTAGAGTGGCTCTGCTGACGGTCTGGGAGGCACCGGACACGGCCCAAGTGCTCGGACCCTGCACACATCCGGGAGACGCAGGTGGAGCCCCTGGCCCGGCCCGGCCTGGCCATTTGGGGAGTGACCCTGGGCGGAGCCTCTGCCTCTTTCAGAGAGTTAGGCCGGGGTCCTCAGTCTCCGGAAGCGCAGGCAGCCGCAGGGGAGATTCCAGCGAGCGGGCGTGGGGGTGGGCGCCTGGCACTGAGGGGCAGGGACGGAGTCTCCACCCACGTCCGCTCCCCGGCACTGTTTCCTGGTCTCCCACGTGGGTGCGGGGCCCGCGCACGTGGGGTTGTGGCGTTGCAGGCGGCCCCTCCCGCGCCGTCTGCACCATCAGGACCTGCATGGGCCGTCGCTGGGGGAGTCGTGGCCAGAACAGGCCTGCAGCCGGGCAGCAGGCGCGGGATTGGTCTCCGCGGAGCTGGAGCCGGCAGGTGCCGGGGTTGTCTCCGGGGCTCGCCCTCTGGTGCTGCTCCTGTCCAGGGCTGGTGGCAGTGTTGGGCCGAGCCCCTGCTGCCCCGTGCCAGCTGCCCGCCCCCAGGCTCGGCAGGAGCCCAGGGCGGGCGCAGATGTGGGGAAGAAAAGCTCTCGTTGCTGGGTGGGGTCTGCGGGAATCCCCACCGGCCTGGATGCCCTTGGACTCTTACTCATTTATTTAAAAACTTAGTTGAAAGGCAGAGAGAGACAGCGACAGCGCCTCCGCTGGCTCGCGCCCCAGATGGCCACTACAGTGAGGGCCGGGTCAGGCTGAAGCCGGGAGCCTGGAGCTCCGTCCAGCTCTCCCCGAGCGCCGGGCCGCGGCACTGCCTCCCGGGAGCCCCTCAGCGTCTCAGGGAGGGCGCGGGGGGTGTGTCTCCGTGGCGCCTCGGTCCTCCGCCCGGGAGGAGGGAGATCTTCACTGGCCAAGTGGCCGCCACGGCCCGCGGCAGCCAGGCTGAGCCAGGAGCTCCCGAGCAGGCGAGCAGGCAGCGCGGAGCGGCTGGGCTCGAGTCAGCACGGGGACACCGGCTGTGGCCTCTGTGCTGGTCTCCGTCCCACGGGCACGCGTGCTCCTTCCCGGCTGAGGGCTGGGCAGGGCTGGCCTGGCTGCTTACTGGTGGACACCTGACGGCGCGGGGAGGGCCGGGCCCTGTGGGAGGCGCCATCCCCTGTGCTGCAGTGGGCTTGGGGTCGCTTCCCAGGAAGGCCCCAGGCCGGGTCCCCCAGCTCAGCCACAGAAACCTGGGTGGGCCTGGGAGCTGGAGGGACGCTCCCCCCGGTCCAGGGCTTGCTGGGCCCAGCAGAGCGCCCAGGCCTGGCTTTGGCCGGGCGGAGGTGGCCATGACCGCCTTCTCTCACAGGCTGGCGCAGCTGGACGTTGACAGCCACCTTGCCCAGTGCCTGGCTGAGAGCACGGAAGACGTGGTGTGGTGACCGTCGGAGCCACGCTTGGGCCGAGGGCTGCACAGGCATCTCAGGAGGCAGAGGCCTGGGCTCCTCTGGGATGGGCGCTGGCCGGGGGCAGGGCAGGCGGCCCCGTCCTGTCACCCTCCACCCCCGCCCTGTCACCGCCCCCACCCCTGCCCTGTCACCGCCCCCTGCCCTGTCACCCCCCCCGCCCTGTCGCCTTCCACCCCTGCCCTGTCACCCTCCACCCCCGCCCTGTCACCCCCCCGCCCTGTTGCCTTCCACCCCTGCCCTGTCGCCCCCCACCCCTGCCCTGTCGCCCCCCCTGCCCTGTCGCCCCCCCCCCCCCCCGTGTTCCTTGTGCCGAGGTGGACGTGGGGCTCAGCTGCTCCCCGTGTCCCTCTGCGACGCGGCTCTGGAATCCTGGTCCCCAAGGTGACGGTGGCGGAAGTGGGGCCTTTGTGAGGGCGGGGCTGGAGGGGGCCACCCCGGGCTCTGCAGCGCTGTCCATGCCACACGAGGACCCAGGGGCGGCCCTCAGACCCCAGCGCCTGGAGAAGGGAGTGACTTCAGCCCACCTGGGCCTCGCCATCCGTGGTGTGAAGGGGCCTTGGCGGTGGGCGGGCCGGTGCACCGCGTGGGCGGTGGGTCCTCGCGGGGCTCTGGGCCTGGCCGGGTCCCGCCCCGTCCGCGCACGCCGTGAAAGCTCAGCGGGAGACGCGCACTTTCCTTTTTGGAAAAGGCGCGCGCGGAAGGCCCGGAAGTCATCCCCTGAGCAGGAGGCCGGTGTGGCGTGGGGTTCTCCAGGGGGCAGGAGAGGGACACGAGACATCTCCCGTCGACGGCAGACCTCCCACGTGCCTGTAACGGCCAGGGCCGGGCCAGGCTGCAGCCAGAGCTCCCTCCGCGTCCCTCGCGGGGGCAGGGGCCCTGGGCTGTCGCCGTCTGCGTGAGCACGCGGCCAGGTCAGAGGTGCAGAGGAGCCAGGACTGGAACCAGGCCCTGGGATGTGGGGTGGGGGACCTGCCCCACGCGAGGATTTGTGGGGAACCAGCTGAGACCCGGGGGCCTCAGACCTGGGGAGCCGAGGGTGGGACTCCTGGCCCAGGGCCAGAGCCCGAGTGTGGGCAGGGGCCGCTGGCGTGAGTCCCGGAGCCCAGCGGCGGAGGAAGGCGTGCAGGCGCCCGCCCCCAAGGCCGCACACCTGGGCCCCACAGCCAGGACTGGCCGGCGCTGCCACGCGCTCCTGACCACGTGAGCCCACTTTCCCTCAGTGTAGCTGGGTACCTGAGAGGCTGCTCCGGGGCGGGGGGCAGTCATGTCGCAAGGGAACAGCACCTGGGCCAGGGGCACTCGGATGCTGACCGCCCAGGGTCCCCGCCGGCCCCGAGAGCCCTGGGCCCACCTCAGCCGCCGGCGCTCCGAATACGCAAGATGGGGATGGCACGGGTCAGGGACTGCTGTGGCCCAGCGCCAGACGCACGGGCTGCCCCGCGGCCGGAGTGGACTCCGATGGGGCGGCACGTGTGGCCCTGGCAGGGAGGCGGGGGTGGGGGCAGCGGCCAGCTGGGGAGTCTGCCCCTCCCCCTGCTGCGAGCCCGGGCCTGGGGGTGGGGGCACCTGGGTCCTCGCCAGCTGTGGACCTGCATGGCGTTCTGGGCTCCTGGCTCCAGACTGGCCTGGGCCTGGCCGCTGCGACCCTAGGCGGAGTGAACCAGTGGACAGCAGCTCGCTCTCGGTTACTCTTTCAAATAAATCTTTAAAAACGTCTGAGAGTGGCTTGGCAACCTTTGCTTCCTACATGAGCGTTTTCATTGCGGTCGGGTGGGCAGCACGCCGGGCTCCACGCGTCCGTCCACCGAGCAAGCCCACCACCGAGCAAGCCCACGGCCCCTGCTCAGCCCTTCGCCGCAGGCTACGCTGAAACATCCGTCAGTTTACTTGTGAAAACCCATGCCTGCAGAAACCTCCCTTCTGCTGGGCATGTCCACGTCCTGCGCGCGGGGGCCACGCAGGGAGCGTGGGGGCCACGCAGGGAGTGTGGCCGCCCAAGGGCACTTGTCAGCCCCTCCCTGGAAGGCGTCGGGGGGGCCGGGGCTGGGGCCTGACACCATTCTGGGAGAGTGGGGGTGCTGGTTCAAACGCACCCTGACTTGTGGCCCGAAGCCCAGGCTGGGGGGCTGCCTGTCCCTGTCCCTGTCCCACCCTAGCGTCCCAGGCCCGGGTGTGAGCTCAGCCCTGAGAAGGCAGTGTGGGGCGAGGTGCCCTCTCCCAGACTGCCTGGCCCGGGTGGGGCGGGAGCCCCCATGGCCACGCGGCCCCTCCCCTTCCGCCACGGCTGCACCGCGCCCGTCCGTGCTAAGGGCGCGCAAAGACCCAAACCCCAGTGCCTGCCCTTGGGCCGGCCGGGCCGCGTCCAGGTGTCCCTCCCCGAGGCGGCGGCCGGGGCGGGGCGTTGAGGGCGAGGGTTCGAGGGTTCGTCGTGCGTGACTCCTGGAGTCCTCTGAGCTTTGTGTGAGTGATAAAGTTTCCAGAAATCCACGTAACACAAGACAGAACGGAGGCGCGGCTGTTTCCAGAAATATATTTTGTGCAGCTCTGGTGTGGACTTCTGTTCGCTGTTTTTGGTCTGCTGGTGCTCTGGAGAGCACGCCTCAGAACCTGTACCCGGCCTCCTCCCCACGGCCCGCGCTCCACCGACGACGCCCGCCAGGCGCCAACTCGACTTACCGCGACTCCGCGTCCTGCTGCCAACGCGGCGGGGGCGCGGCGGGCTCGCGGAATAAAGGCGCCAGGGAGGCCTGGACATCATCGGCACATTTTATTCCTCGGGACAGGACACGCCAGCTTCCTGGCGCAGAGGTCGGGGCACCGAGTTCTGTCTCTGAGGGCCGTGCAAGTCTGCCCTCGGCGTCCGCGGCGCGGAGCCTGCCTCGCTGGGCCCGGGCGCCGGCCGGTCCTGAGCCTCGTGCCCAGCCTGGCATGCATATGCTGTGGTTCAGGATAAAGGTCAAGGGTCATTCACAGGCGTGTCCACGGCGGGGCTGCGCCGGCCTCACACGGACTCCTCAGTGGAGAGCAGGAGTGGGTTGATGTACTCGAAGCCTTCGAACTCGGACTGGTCGATCCTCTTGATGACGTCCCTGGAAGCGCAGGGGAGGGTGGCGGCATCCCGTGGGGCTCCTCCCTCCTCCCCCAGCCCGGGGCGGAAGTGGGGCCGCCCTGCGGCAGGCGGGACTCACTCGTCGTCTGGGGTCAGCTGCACAGGCTCGCTGGTGAACTGCGTGTCGAAGTTGTCCAGGCCGTAGTCGTCCGTGATCTGTGGCTGGAACGGGGGCAGCGCCTGCTTCTTCTCCAGCTGGGGGAACGGGCGAGACGGGCGGTGAGCCTGCTGGACGGAGCTCACACGCCCACGGGCGAGACGGGCGTGCTCCCTGCTGGACGGAGCTCACACGCCCACGGGCGAGACGGGCGCGCTCCGTGCTGGACGGAGCTCACACGCCCACGGGCGAGACGGGCGCGCTCCCTGCTGGACGGAGCTCACATGCCCACGGGCGAGACGGGCGCGCTCCGTGCTGGACGGAGCTCACACGCCCACGGGCGAGACGGGCGCGCTCCGTGCTGGACGGAGCTCACACGCCCACGGGCGAGACGGGCGTGCTCCCTGCTGGACGGAGCTCACACGCCACGGGCGAGACGGGCGCGCTCCGTGCTGGACGGAGCTCACACGCCCACGGGCGAGACGGGCGCGCTCCGTGCTGGACGGAGCTCACACGCCCACGGGCGAGACGGGCGCGCTCCCTGCTGGACGGAGCTCACATGCCCACGGGCGAGACGGGCGCGCTCCCTGCTGGACGGAGCTCACGCCCACGGGTGAGACGGGCGCGCTCCCTGCTGGACGGAGCTCACACGCCCACGGGCGAGACGGGCGCGCTCCCTGCTGGACGGAGCTCACACGCCCACGGGCGAGACGGGCGCGCTCCGTGCTGGACGGAGCTCACACGCCCACGGGCGAGACGGGCGCGCTCCCTGCTGGACGGAGCTCACACGCCCACGGGCGAGACGGGCGCGCTCCGTGCTGGACGGAGCTCACACGCCCACGGGCGAGACGGGCGCGCTCCGTGCTGGACGGAGCTCACACGCCCACGGGCGAGACGGGCGCGCTCCCTGCTGGACGGAGCTCACGCCCACGGGCGAGACGGGCGCGCTCCCTGCTGGACGGAGCTCACGCCCACGGGCGAGACGGGCGCGCTCCCTGCTGGACGGAGCTCACACGCCCACGGGCGAGACGGGCGCGCTCCCTGCTGGACGGAGCTCACACGCCCACGGGCGAGACGGGCGCGCTCCCTGCTGGACGGAGCTCACACGCCCACGGGCGAGACGGGCGCGCTCCCTGCTGGACGGAGCTCACACGCCCACGGGCGAGACGGGCGCGCTCCCTGCTGGACGGAGCTCACAGGCCACGCCGCAGACCCAGGGTCTCAACAGCGCCTGGTCTGAACGCTGGCCGTGTTGTTCCTTAAGATGCAAAGTTTAGGATAAGGGGCGGGCACTGGGACACAGCGGGTGACAGCCCCGCAAGCTCCCTGCTAGTGCACCCGGGAAAGAAAGGAGGCTGGTCCAAGTGTTCGGCCCCTGCGCCCACGTGGGAGACCCCGGCCCAGCTCTGGCCCATGTGGCCATTTGGTGACGTGACCCAGAGGATGGCAGACCTCGCTCGCTCTCTCTCCCTATCTCTAACTCTGCCTTTCAAATAAGTAAATCTCTTAAAAAAATTATGACAAAATACCCACAAGTCCCAGCTGCACTGAGACCTGCTGGGAGCAGCCAGGTGGCGCCCGGGGGGGGGGGGCAGGGCGTGGCCGGGACACCTGGACCCTGGTCAGGAAGGGCTGGGCCCGCATCGCCTCCGCCCCCCGCGGGGCCTGTCCTCCATCAGCAGGCCCTGACGGTTTAGATGCCAACTTCAAACCACAAGGGCCCATGGGCGGGAGAAGCGGGCGGCAGGGAATGGCCGCGGCAGCCCTGAGCCGTGGCTGAGCCGAGAGCGGGCAGAGGGTCGTGTGCCCCACACAGGGGCCTGCTGCACGGCGCCCTGTGGCACACACCTGTGCTGAGACCGTCTCAGTGTGCTGGGGCTCAACCAGTGCAGCGTGGGGGCCGTGGGGGCCGTGGGGGCCGTGGGTCCCGGGGGAGCAGGGCGGGCGCCCCCTGGGGTGGCGGTGTCCCAGCACCATCCTAGGAGCACCAACGCCTCCCCTCCCCGCACACTGGCAGGTGCCTTGGCCTGGGGCTACGGAGCTGGGGCGGTGTTCCTGGGTTACCCAGCCTCATCGTGGCACCAGACGTGCACTCTGGCTCGTCCTCTCGCTCACCCACAGGGGTGCTGCACTCCTGCGGACCCAGAGGGCGCGAGGGAGGGACTGACCTCTGGGTGCTGCCGCCACTCAGCTGCTGTGGGATGGGCCTCACCCCGACAGCCACGTCCTGCACGCTTGGCCCCGACAGGCCCCAGGGCTCCTGCAACAGGGTCTGCCCTGCTCAGGAGAGCCCGAAGGCCTGGGCGACAGCAGCTTCCCCCTCCTCCGAGGGTCCCACACACCCGAGACGCAACGCCCTGGCACATGGCCAACAGTCGCTGTGCCCAAAGGGAAGAGCCCAGGCAGGAGGCGCCCACCACGGAGGACGGCTTTCTCCCTGCTACGCCTGAGCTCGGGTTGGAGGGGACCAGCGCTGTGGTGCAGCCGGTGAAGCCACCGCCTGGGGCGCCGGCACCCACACGGGCGCCGATCGAGTCCCGGCTGCTCCGCGTCTGATCCAGCTCCCTGCGAACGGCCTGGGGGCAGTGGTGATGGCGCACGTGGCAGGCCCCTCCCCTCCACGTGGAGAGCCAGACTCAGGCTCCCGGCTTCAGCCTGGTCCAGTGCTGACCGTTCGGGGAGTGGCCCAGCAGGTGGAAGATCTCTCTGTGTGTGCCACTCGCTTTTCAAACAAATAAATGAATCTTTTACAAAAGTTGACTTGATAAGCTACCTAATGTTTTACATCCTGAGAGAGCACGTAAAGGTTGTATTTCAGTAACTGTGACTGTTTATCTTGAAATTCCGTTTTCCTTTGCCTCAGGAACCACAGCACGGAAGGCCAACCCGGGTGCCACTGGCCAGCCCAGTGCAGCAGCCAGACGCCCAAGGGAGACCAGGCAGGCTGTAGAAGCCAGCGGCGAAACCAGCGAAAATGCCTCTCCCGGGGCCAGCCCCCGAGCTACCCCTCTCAGAGCCCCCGGGCAGTGTAGACCACGCCCAGCGTGTCCCTGCAGGCCCACGATGGCGATGGCCGGGAAGCACCAGCCACAGGCTCCAAGCTGTCTCCGGTTCCCTGCTGGGGGCCCTGCGGGGAGGGGCCCTGCAGTCACTCACCCCAGCCCTACCTGCCCACCCGCCCCGGCCCTGCCCGCCCGCCAGACGTGCTGCCTTACCAGGTCCCAGTCTATGCTGCGGAAAAACGCGTGAGATTTGATGTCAGAAAAACCAGTCTGTGGCCGGCAACCAAGCCTCTCTTTGGGGTCCTGGGGGGAGAGGTCAAAGGACAAATCAGGCCAAGCAGAGGTGGCCCTGCTTCCCCAGAGATCCCAAGTGCCTCTGAGCACAGGGAACCAGCCCCGCCCTTCTGCACCCCCACGCCCCACACCAGCCTCCTGCACCCCCCCACTCCACACCCCCCCACCCTCCCACGCCCCACACCAGCCTCCTGCACCCCCCCACTCCACACCC